TACAGAGTGTGTCATATTATTAATGTTTATGATACTTTATTATGTTAAACTAGTCAGTATCATAACAATGCCATCAGTATGTTTTGCCATCAGCTACATATCAGGTCTTTAAGACCCAGACTGAAGATCTTCACACATACCTCCATTCTGGTTATTTCCTCTGGAATCTGCTCTTGGCCTGGATGATTCAGACAGTAAAATGTAGACCAGATAATACAGCCACACAGATTTAAGTGTTTTTACTACACAAGATCATTAGTAGTCACCTAACTTCTTAAGGAGATTAAGGCAGAACATTTTTTTTATTTCAGATTTAGTGAATTCTCATAGAAATCAGCATTTTGAGTGTTAATAGCTATAATACATATTCTAGAGCTCCTTTTCTATGGGAAGGAGATATAGATGACTTGTCCCGCATGACAATAATTTTGAAATTCAATTATTTCTATTCTGACTTTTCACTTCATTTTTAGAAAATACGCGTTTATATTTTTATAATTCCTGTTAAGAAAAAATGCTGCTATTAAATACCACTTACATGAAATACATCACAAAGTACATTACAAACATCTAATTTACTTAAAGTCTAATTTACTTACAGTTCTTTTGCTTTCATAATGTAGTAAATCAAACCAGCAGCTCCAATGACACCGAATGAAACCCCAATAGCAATATCAAGCATAGTTTCTGCAGACAGCAGCTCTTCATCTGCACGCCCTTTTTTAACAAACAGAGAGAAACCAGCAAATCTTCATTTAATGTAATAATAATCATTTCATAAAAAATAAACACACTGTATTAAAGAACATCTCGAGATTTTATAAAATAACCTTTTTTTTACAAGACATGTTTGAAGGCCATTACAAACTATTGCGGCTTAATCATGGTCATGCAGTGGATTTTGCCACGTCACAAGGTTTATTTATCAATATAAATGGAAAGTATGGCTGATGCTATCTCACTATTGCTTGTTTGTAGTATGTCCACTTTAATGACATGAAAGAAAAAAGGTTATTTTTATAATTCTTGTTACATGATAACGAAAACCTCAGTGAGGCAGAATTTCTTAATAAAGAAATATGAAATGTATATTAAATGTAAATATTAAAACCTGTTTTTTATCAGATGTCATTTTTTATTTATGTTCCACTTATAAGTAAAAGAAATCCTATGCTACTGTGTGTTTATAGCCTAATGTCCCTTCCTCACAAGAGCTTCCAATTAAGTTCCTTGTTTAACCTCTAAATATACTATATGGACAGAAGTATGTGGACATATGACCGTCACACTCATATGTGCATGCTGAACATCTTATTCCAGAGATGGTTCCCACTTTGCTGTTATAATAACCTCGACTCTTCAGCTGAAGGCTTTCCATTAGATTTTAGAGCATTCAGCCACAAGAGCATTATTGTGACTGGGGTCTGTGTGATTCCAACTTTGCACCAACAGTTTGGGGAAGGCCCAAGTATGGATGTGATGGTCAGATGTCCACATAAGTTTGGCCATACAGTGTATCGCTGTTTGCTAGCAACCTCAGTTCCCCTAAGTAACTAAATCATTGCCAAGAAGCCAAAATATATACAAACATTTGGTGAACCATCAGTGCAACTGCAAAGGCTAAGGTGATCACAGAGAAATAAAAAAGGTGTTCTCACCTTTTTTTTACGGTTGGAGTTAATAGCTATAGCTGAGACCGTATTATCTGCAAAGGCTGTGTGACTGCATATTTCATTAAAAATAATTAGGTGGAATTTGTCATGTTCCTGATCAGTTGGAATAAAGACATGAAGCCACATCAAGCCTTTGTACCTGTTGCCATCTCACTATTGGTTGCTTTCAGTATGTCCACTGTGATGACATGAAAGGAAAAAAATATTTTAACATATCAAGAGCTGGTCTTTTCAGTAATGCTCTACATTGTAAACCTCTTCTGCATGTAAACTCAACAGTGCATGATATAGTCGGTAATTTTAACTTTGGATTAAGATCTGTTTTAGATAGTGTTTTACCAAAAAAAACTTTTCATTCAAAATGTTTTACTATTCCGTCACATTAATATCCACAAAGTCACACTAATATTCAGTCAGAGTAATGGATAGATTTAAAATCTTTAAAGAGATAGAACTTTTGGGCAGATTATTAAGAAGCATAGAGTCAAATTTCATTGTTATTTATAGGAAACACAACATTCATCAGCCTACAATCTACCATCTACCACTGATGTAAAAACAAAAAAAACAAAAAAAAAACACCTTTTTTTCAATTTAGGATTTAATTAATCCTAAATTATTAATCCTAATTAATTCATCCTTACTTTTACAGGTTCATTAGTTTTATTTTACTTTTTATATTATTTTAACTGTTATAGTAGTCATAGTAGTAGTATCAGCCTATTTTATTTACTAATTTTTTTCTCTGCTGTTTTTTACTCTACACTGTAAAGCACTTTGAGATTTCAACAAGTCACATGATATGAAATAACTCACAGTAAATGAAGAGGTTCAATGGAGGACTCGTTGCTTTGCTGATGATGTTGGATGCTTCACATCGGTATGAGCCTGTGTCACCTCTGATCACACTGGTAATGGTCAGATTTTTGGTCTTGTCACTTAGCTGGATTCGGCCCCCTGCTGTAACCTCAGATCTGCCATGCAGCCAAATAAATGAAAGCGAGGAGCCATACGCAGAGCAGACGAGACTCAGAGAGCTGGTGTATTCAAGCAGCCATGTTTGATTTGTTACTATGGTAACGTTGGAGGCTGGCTCTGGGGGTTAAACAGTAATACAGGGCTCAGGTACACATACACATCTGAACATGAACGATCTATAATCAAAACATAACTGTAATCATTGTACCAACACTATTAGCTCTCCTGAATTTGGACAACAATCACTCACATCTGTTTCTGTCATACTACAAAAAAAATCTTTTACGAAGTACACTCGAAAACAAGAAGACCAGAAAAGAAAGTACTCTTTACAGATTTTTATGGCAATAAACCTCAGTAATAAACATCTCACATTATAGCATTATAAACTTTTGATATAGGCATCAATCACCAATCTTCAGCCACCAGCCATGCATTCTTTAAAAAGAGGAGCTTTACTGCAATATGGCAGCAGAAGAAATACTGGTACTGGTGAAGAGGACAATGACACAGCTGTTTTGACCAAATGTTAATGTCGTCTTTATTTTTTATAAGATGATCATCACAGAAATCTGTTACCAAAAATGGTTCTAAAGTCTACAGTTTCTGTATTTTGTATAGTAATTTGCTGTTCTGAATTTGACACTGTAGTCTTTAGAGGGAAACTTGATAATATTAATATGGTATGAAGATTAATATGATTATGATTTTGGGGGCATGGTGGCTTGGTGGCTTGCACCTTTGCCTCACACCTCCCATGTTGAGGGTTTGATTCTCACCTCCACCCTATGTGCGCAGAGTTTACATGTTCTCCCCCGTGCTATAGGGGTTTCCTCTCTCATTCTGAAGACATGTGCTGTAGGCTGTCTTTTTGGCATTTCCAAATTGTCCATTGTATGTGAAAGCATGTGAGATTGTGCCCTGTGATGGGTGGCTGTCCCCCTGCCTTGTGCCCCGAATCCCCTGGGATACGCTCCAGGCTCAGCCGCGACCCTGTGTCAGATAAGCGGCATGGAAGATGCATGGATGAATGTGATTTTATACATTTTAGAGATGCATATCCAGATTCTGTTGTAGAGGGAAAAATATTATAGTAAACAGTAAATCATTGTATTTGCAAAATAAGGACAGTAAGAGATCATGGAACAAACCCTTGCTGCCCTTGCCGATGATTTGGTTTACTCAGTAAACACCTGCAGCGAGGTTACACTTGTGAAATGATCTATAACAGAGTCTACAGACAGAGAATAGTATCCAGTACCACTCTCAGTCAGGTCCCAGACCCCCAGAGCTAAAGTGGAGGTGTCCAGTCTGACTTGGTCAGTGTACGCTGGCTATATTGTAATTCCACAAGGAAGTGCATTAAGAATGATGCTCCCATTACACGTCCATCTTGCAATGATGTGTGGAGGAATAGGAATACATATTGGGATAATCACTATGTTGTCCCCAACTGCTTTATTTAGTCTGTCAGGTCAGTTTATGTGCTGAAAGAACACAATAATCTTTAAGTTTTAGAAATCTCAATACTGTTTTTCTGTTCTGGAAGCTCCCAGATATAGTCTGCTTTTCCAATAACTGACTTATTTCCACACCTCCACTGTATGTATGTATGTATGTATGTATGTATGTATGTATATATATATATATATATATATATATATATATATATATATATATATATATATATATATATGTGTGTGTGTGTGTGTATATATATATATATATATATATATATATATATATATATATATATATATATATATATATATATCACAACACTGTTGCATTCTTGAATCTGACTCATCAGAGGATGTTGATTAATATTCTATAGTAGCAGTTCTGACAGTACTGCTGGCTGTAAGACATATCACACATGATTATATGAATGCACTCTTTCTAAATCTAAGGGTGTTTGTACAGGAACATGTATGGCAGACACCCCACATATGATCTAGTCCTAATAATAAGCAAATATTTTAAAAAATTATTTTGAACTGTATGATATTTCACTCTATTAAATTTCATTAATTTTCTTCTGTAGGGAGATGTTTATTCAACATTGATGGAAGGAGTCTCCTGTGTCAGTGCTTAGTAACATTCAGTCATGGGAGGTCTGCTTTGCGTCAGACCAGATCACACCTCCCCTTCACTGAGTATTTTCCTATAACAGCACATCTGTTTTTCATTGCTCACATAATACATACAGAAGTTATTCAAATGCTAGTTAAATACAGTTCTACTCATTTCTAAATTCAAAAAACTGCATTTCAAATACAAACAAAAATTCATTTTAAATTTCTCTGCAAAGAAGCTAATTTTTCAATGTTACTTAATTTTATTTGAATGTCCCTGGTGGTCTAGTGGCTAAGGATCCAGCGTTCTCATTGCTGCGGCACTGGTTAGTTTCCCGTGCAAGGAACCAACCCAGCCACTGGGACTGTACACTCAGTGCCGGTCCCAAGCCCAGATAAAATGGGAGGGTTGTGTCAGGAAGGGCAACCGGCGTAAAACCTGTGCCAAATCAAATATGCAGCCCAATGATCCGCTGTGGTGACCCCTAATGGAAGTAGCCAAAAGAACAACTTAATTTTACTTGAATGCTAATTTCTCAGTGTGTTTGTCCACTTTTCTGTGGCCAAAGAGTTGCCTTGGCTTGAATGAATGCCTAGTTATTTTTGTTGAACATGAATTCAAAAACTAAATGATAACCCACCTAGTACAGTAATGGTGATGGGTTCAGACGTGGAATATCTCAGGCTCTGTTTGTTATGGGCGATGCAGGTGTAATTGCCACTCTGACTGCTCTGAATGTTGCTCAGTCTGAGCTCATGGCCCATTTCACCAAGCTCTGCTCCATTCACAGCCCACTGAAACTCAGCAGCAGGGCTGGACTCAGCTGAGCAGGTCAATGTGAGGTTAGACCCAGAGCTGTAGAAAGGACCCACTGGAGCTGCTTCAACAGCAACATTTTCTGGACCATCTGCAATGGA